TTTTTTTTTTACAACTTTTGCTTTCATTGACTTTAATTGATGATATTTGACAGTAACGAAGAGAAGTAAATACTTTTTTCTTTGGTTGTTGTTGTTGCTGCTGCTGCTGCTGCTGTTATTAGTTTATGGATATTTATTAATTGTACTTAACGATTGCATAGTAGCAAAAAAAAAAAGGTAAAAAAATGATAATCAACTTCTTTCTCGTTTTTTTTTTTTGTTATTTTTTGGTTATGTTTTTATTAATCAAAATTTTAAAGATAAGTCATTGTAAACAACTTTATGGATTCGTCATTAACGTTGGATTAAAAATTTATTTGCAATTTCGATGGTATTGTGTTGGAAGGTAAGCAAGTATTTTTTTTCTCAATTAAGCAGTTGCTTTTTGTTATTGCAAATTTTTTTAGCATTTTTTAATAGTTTATTTTCAGTAAAATATAGAATAATTTTTCTCATTTCTGTTAGGAGATTGTTTATCAATATCATTGTGAAGTAAACTAAAGCTAACTACAGCATTGTAGCTTTCAAAATACTCAACTTTAGTCGATAGATCAGTGGTCAGAAAAGCTGTAATATACAAATTTATTTCACAGGTTAAGAGTTTAAATGACAACTTACTCAGTCAGTAGATTGGTTTATTTATGGTTACATCACTTTATCACTTACATATGGATAACTGTTCGACAGTTTAGGTAGTAGATTCAGATGGAGCTACAATATCCAGTTTATGGATTTCTTGTTGACCAAATCGGCAGAGATCAATGATGGGCACAGAATGCAGCATCAACTTTGATTCTTCTTCTCATCCATCTATCAAAACCAAATATCCGTATTACAGCTAAACATTTCCCTTAGTATTTCGTGTTCACTATAATTTGGGAACGAAAGCTTACAACTGAATGGAATTCAAAGATTGCAACAATACGTTATAGTGAAAGAATGCAAAACTAAGAAAACTTTTTCTATATCAGGGTAAAAAAAAATTTTTTTCTTTCTTAACTTTTTTTCGCTTTATTATCAATTCGTTTTTTATGATTTATTATGTATTCCAAATGCTTGCCAATTAAAATAACTTGGAAATCTTTGACAATTACAGGTCAATTAAAAAAAAACATTAATCGTTGTTGCTGCAGGATTACTCGAACTGGTGCAC